AAAGAGGACTTGTCTCTGAGCCCTGACATAAAAGCCTCAGTCACCCCTGGTCTTCAGCATTGATTCTTGGACTGCCATGAGGCCACTGCTTGAGATTAAACTGGTAACACTGATTGTAAAGCTTCCTCGCTAAGGCACGTCTGGAAGCCTGATTAAATTCATGTGCAGGGATCTAGAAACAAGTCTTAATTTCATTTCACACAACTCAATCCTCCTCTGTAACAATGTTTTTCAGCTTTTAACCATTAATTGTCCTTTTTTGAGCCAAGGACTAAGAACAAAATAAAAATGAGAGTGGAGAAAGAAATGCTCTTCTGTGATGCACACTTCCTTGCCGTTTATCCTACAAGCTCCTCTTCTTTGTTCTGGTACATCTTTCTTTCTCTATAGCCTTGGAAGTGCAGCCTTGTGATGCAGTTGTTACCTTGCTTGTCTCAGCTTCTATCTGCCACAGCTTATTGAGGCTGTGTAGGATCTGCAGACGGTCACCAAGGTACCTAGACAGGGTGAAACAGGAAAATTGAGTTTCAAATGAGTGAAAGAGCTGAAGAGACATTGAGGTGAGGTGTGAAACATCAAAGTAGCCCACTTTAGGGTGTTATGTGGTCTTGCCATTAAATGCCACAACTTGATTAACAAAAAGGACGCACTTACTCTACACCAATCTTCTCCAGATCAGCATCCTTGAGATACCTCAGCCCGACGCCTGTTATTTTTTGTGCTGGATATCAGAGCAAACATACCAGTTTCGATATTAGCACGTCACAGCTCACAAATAGATACATCGGATTAACATTAATAACAGAAAACTCTCAACTAACTGCATTGTGATTAACAATGAGATGTAAGCACGTATATTTGAGCTATCAAACCCAAAAACTCACCTCTAAACTTATCCTCCCATTCCCCGAGACCTTCTCTTCGTAGGTACTGACACGTTTCCCCTACTCCCCATCGTATGTAGTCGGAGTCCGGCAGCCGGACCACTGACACTCTCTTCTCCGGGGTTTTGAAGCCGTCACTGGGGCTCGAAACTGCCTCTAACGGTCGTTTTCGATTCTCCATGTTGATCAGACTAATAGGCGGCTGTTCGGGTTGGGCAGAAAAGCAGAGATCCGGAAAACTGAAGCCGATAATGTTTCCCCACGCCGACTGCAACAGCTGATCGGGTAGCTCTGCAGAGAAAATACTCTGCCGGGCGGTGAAAAATACCGGGGTTTTGTTTCTCCACTGGATGAGTCAAGTTACATAGAAACACAAACATACCTTTCCTGCCACTGTTTTCAAAATAAAAGTCTATTGAAACCTTGTTCGAAACTTAGTGGCAAAACCACGACCCATATCTTTTCAAACGGTAAAGTACAAGCTTGGACTCCATTGAAAGACAAAACAAAAATTCATTTTCTATTACTCTTATTCACAAACTTAAGAATAAAAACGATCACAATTTTAAATTAAAGAGAGCTCTAGGGATCTCTAGTTGGTTGATGGTTAAGAATAGATCCAAGATGGCTGCAGTAAAGAAACAGAGCCAAGCACCTCCTGATAATAATGATAATAATAATAATAATAATAATAATAATAACAATTAAAATAATAATAAAATAAATAGTTATATAATAACAACAACAACAACAATAATAATAATAATAATAATAATAATACCTATTATTATTATAAATTTTTAATAGGCTCTTAAATGAAAATGGTACCACTTTCCACGGCATAGTTTTGGTTGAGAAACGTGTTTTCACCACAGTGCAAATACTGTACATGAGTACAATTTTGAGGTACTTGAGATACTTACACGTCATTACATTTCAGAAAGAAATATTCTACTTTTAAGATGCATGTATTACTGCTATTTTGTTTAAATATACTGTATATATTAACAATACAAATTATTATCAACACATAAATTATGGTGTATTATTATAGTTAAGACAAAATTGTATTTATGCTTGTGGGAAATTCACTATCCAGCAGTAAGCTATAAGTAGTTTTAAATTAGCTTAAGCTTTTCCAGCGGTAACAGTTGACACACACACACACACACACACACACACACACACACGCATCAATTATCATAATACAATAACATATCATAGACCTACATTATTCTGAAGTGATTCTGCATAATGAATACGTTTACTTTCAATATATTTTGATGCTAATACTTTGAACATTTATTTAAATTAAATTTTGAATACATGCCTTTTACTTGTAATGCGGCATTTTTATACTGTTGTGCTACTAATTTTTCTTAAGTAGAAGACCTGAGAAATTCTACCATCATCGCTGAATAAATGAACCCATTTGATGATTTTATTTCACAAGTAAAGCACACTTGTTTCCGGTGTATTATTTGATAGTCGTCGGTAGCTTGATACAGGTTGTTACCTTCAGGGTGACGGGGAGAAGGCGGAGCCTGGCTGAGCCGAGTAGAGGAAGCCTTAGTGGTGACACCGGATTATGTTCAGTGAAAACGATGTGGGATGTACAATGGCGGCGTCTTTGAAACAGTTTATTCCAATTCGTTTACTGTAATTAAAGTATGGTTAGGTAATTTAAAACCGCGCATGGTTGGGAAGACACCAGCTCTAACACTTGGCGGGAGGTCTTTTTGCAGTGCCGGTAAATCAACGGTAACAATAAACTTCACAACTTCAACCCGCCTACAAGAAATTTCAATATTTAAGAAGTATGACACGAAAGGGAGTGATGTGACTACCTGGAGTGTGATATTGGTTTTATACAACAATTCTACGAGCGCCATATTGTTAAATAAGCAACAACAGATTATCATTTGTTTGTTTATCATTTATTTGGCTACGCCAACACAAATAGTTCAGCAACTGGACTGGTCCTGGACTGTTGCTAAGCAACACAAACATTTTCATGACGCACTAGCTTGCTACTTCGTCTACACCCATCACACAGCATTGAGCAAGTTCACTTTGCATTTTTCCTGTTCACCTCACAATGATAGCACTGTCCTACAATTCGTAGACATCTCTACAATCCAGGTTGAATTAATGTTTTCATAAAACAGACTAAACAAGCAGCAGAAATTTGCTGTTAGGTAACCGTTATGGTCACAGCAAAGAAGCATAAGTCGACGAGGGTAGCCGCTTTCAGGAGTGATGGAAAGTTGAATACTTTTTCACTGAAAGCCAAAACTGTTGGGTTTGTCTCGTTTGCCAAGAGACAATCGCTGTGATGAAAGAGTTCAATGTGAAAACACACTATGACACTAAGCATAATTCATACCAGCGACAGTTCAGACAGACAGCACCTTGAAGCTAGCCTAGCCCCCCAGCAGCTTTCACATGGTGTGGCTCCCAGGTATTTTCACATTATCAAATTTGGCCCCAATTCAAAAAAGTTTGGACACCCCTGGTCTACATTACCTCAGGGGTGCGCTGAAGTATCTAGGCTTCTTCCCTTCATCCTCTTCTGACGACCACACGTAATTTAATTCAAATTTTATTTCTGGAAATATATACATCTTTGCGGCGCAAAGTTTGTTACAAGCTAAGGTAGATAACGACCGTTTATTAACTCAGAACACCTGTGAAGCGGAGTGATACATGTAGTTAAAAGTCCCAATGCTGTTATACTCTATATCAGCACTCAATGAATGTCTCTTGTCCAATCAGATTACTTGGTCAGAACTAACTGTTGTATAAAAATGCTTTAAATTCTGTGAATTATGTCTGTTAACATTAAAATCATTTACTCCCTTCTTTATTTCCATACATATTTTACATTAATGTTGCAGATGATACAAATGAATCAAGGTAAGAAAGAAAATATGGAAGTTAAGGGTTATATATACCTAAACAATTGGTGTTGGATGAGTTTAATTACACGACAAAGAGAAAAAGACCTTTGTTTCAAATAGCACAGGTACAATTTGTTATCAAATCATTTCAACAGGATAACAGTTAACACTACTGACTAACCTTTGGTATCCCTCAACAGTCCCATTACATATTACAACTATAATACATTTTCACACAATGAGCAAAACACAATACCTAACCTTTGTCTTAACCACAGATGGTTACATAAAAGAAAACAACAAGCCAGTTCACCTCTATAATAGGACTACTAAAAATGTGATATATAATATAATCATAATAGTAATAAATGACCTATCACAAATTATTAAATTATTGTTAATTACTTATTTCAGATTGATTGAGATGATTTCAAAAGGTATACTCATTCAAATGAAAAAACAAGATACAATAAAAGATGCCACCAATAAAATAGATTGAAAAACAATTTAAAAACAGTGACAATAAATGTTGGGAGGAAGGATGCAGTTAAATAAACTAAACCACCAAAACAACCTCTAATCAAAAATGATTTAAAGTCAAAATAACATCTAATGAGATTTCCATGTTAACTCACACAATTAGTGTTAAATACAAATACAAATCCCCAAACCACAAATTAAATGCTTATTAATTAAATGTCACTTTAAATAACAGACTCTATTACATGTGTTGGTGGTGCTTTACAGCTTGTCACAAACATAAAGAATACACAGTTGTACTTTTGTTTGTAGATTTGAATTTCCTCCTTTAAAAGCTCTGTAGTAATACAAGGATAAAAAAGATTTACAGAAGAGCATGTTTTGGTAGAAACATGGTATGAAATTGTGCTTCAGTTTAAATGTGACATACAGCTGCAGATGGAGAAGGCCTAAACAGCTGATGAAGATAATATTGGAGTATTTCAGGCTATTAAACCTAAAACTGTTTAATGATGGGGGGGGGGGGGAAAAAAGCTCCTTCAATTATCAATGGCAAACAAAAATATGTGTATAATATTGAACAGGGCTTCAGAAAACCTGACTATAGGGTTTTAGTGTAATAATTAATTCTCATTTACATGGTCATTTTTAATTTATATTCAATTATATAGAACCAGTGAGTATCAGAGAGTGTTTGTTTTTTTCAGGGTTGAGCTTCATCTTCCACATCTTCATATTAATTGTTTTGGCTGTCTTCCTCTGGGTTTCCATCCTGTACGTAAATAAAGACAGCACAGACAAGCACATCAGTATTAACAAAAGCAGTGCAGAGTGTACCTGGTGAGAGATGGTGGTCATGGTTAGTGAAGCAGGGCACTAGACTGCACTGGAGCTGAACACTGTTTTCTTTGTGTTGTGAGATAGAAAATTGACATGACTTTAAGGAGTAGTTAGAGACATTTTCCCTATTTTCTTACATCTATAGATCAACTGATTAGTTGATTAAACAATAATCAGAAGAACAGATCAATACAGCTATAGACTGCATTCACTCCAGATCCAACATCAGAGAGTAATAGAACTGTAATCGGCTCCTGGAGCTCGTCATGTTCTTACCCTGCTCATGTTCCCATCCTAATGCTCATAACTTAAAGCCTAAACTGCATTTTAAAAGGAATTGCACCCGACCCTCCATACAGTACCTATGTTATATTTAATAGACCAGATCTAAGTATTACCTCAAGTATTGAAAAGTTCTTGGCTTCACACCACTGGACGAAGTGTTTCTTGGCAGCGTCCAGACTCTTTTTATCCTTCCTCTTGCAGTAAACCGTGATGAACAGCTCAGAAAAGCGCTCTGAGAGAAGCTTGTCCACCTGACAAGAAGAACAGCAGCATAAATTTGAGAATAAAAATATAGCAGCAGCTTCCTTATGCAAAAATACATACATATATACAGTCATTGCTTAAGTTCTGACCTGGTTTTGGGGGATCTTTGAAGCTTTGTCAGGGGCAAACTTGCTGTAGAAATACACATTACTGATGGGGTCCTCCCCCTTTTTCCTGTAATCGAAAGAAGTGACCTAAAAGAAAAGGGTGAGAGAAAAGATTGTTTATATGAATAGATTATCTTCCAAATCAGTGATAATCAACAAAAGCCAAAATTTTATGAAAAGTGAAGTGAAAGTAATTAGACTAAAAAACTTACCACAATTTCAAAGTCCTCTGCTGTCAGCCCGTCATCAGGGATGGTTTGAGCTAATTCCTCTTTCCACTGCTTTTTCACCTCCTGAGGAGAAAGGGTGAGAAGTGAGAGGGGTAAGAGATTAGAGATTTATTACCACTTGACAACATATCAACATATAGCAAGAATACATCCTACACACACATCCCATACATTAAGATATTTAATTTAAAATCATTTAAAACTGCATCCTGTTTCCCCAGTTTTTGGTGGAGCTTTTGCAAAATGATGACATTGGCCTGCCTAGTTATTGTTTGTGGCAGTAAAGTTAAAAAGAAAACTTTCTGTCACCACTAAGTTTCTCTGTGATCTCTCAACCTGTATCTAAGGTGATTTTGTCAGATGACATCACAAGCATACATTAATGATTTTATTGGCACAGCAGCCTGGGAATGACATGTACATGTTTTCTATCTTAATGGACAAATTGCTTTTCTGTTCACCCATTCACACAGACACATATCTATGGCAACAGAGCTGCCAAACATGCAAAGCACTGGCCTGCAAATCGGAAAAAAATTGGCATTCAGCGCTCAAGGACACGTGGACAGAAGGAGCTGGGGATCAAACTACAAACCTACAGCCAGAGCCATTTCATACTCGTTCCATTGTCTGTACATCAACAGAAAAATATGTAAATGTGATCAACTATACTTTTAAGTATTAAAACTGTCATGGTGCGGGTAAGGCTGGACCCAAATGCAGCCAAAAGGAAACCGAAGCACGAGGGCACACAAGGAACAACAACAGGAGACACAGGGGATACCACAGCCGTTAGAACAGGCAACATGAACAGACAAACCGACACAAACAGAGGGGAGCACAGAGACTATATAGACACAAGGGAGGCAAGGGTGATTAAACACAGGTGAAACACATTAGGGCGGGGCAGACAATCACCACACAGAAAAACAGGAGCAAGACAGGAAGTAAAAACATGAAGACACACAAGGAAACCAACTACAAAATAAAACAGGAAGTGACAAAATCCAAACATAAAATGTCCGCCATGGAAAACCATGGTAAACAACAGGTCATCACAGGGCTGTCAACGGCTGTCATTAACCGATATTTATTCATTCATTCATTTTCTACCGCTTATCCTCTAGTAGGGTCGCGGGGGGGCTGGAGCCTATCCCAGCATCCTTTCGGGCGAGAGGCGGGGTACACCCTGGACAGGTCGCCAGTCCATCGCAGGGCACACAGAGACAAACAACCATTCACTCTCACATTCATACCTATGGTCAATTTGGAGTAACCAATCAGCCTAGTCCCCATTTGCATGTCTTTGGACTGTGGGAGGAAGCCGGAGTACCTGGAGAGAACCCACACAAGCACGGGGAGAACATGCAAACTCCACACAGAAAGACCCCGCGTCCGAGCCGGGACTCAAACCCGGAACCTTCTTGCTGTGAGGCGACAGCGCTAACCACTGCTCCACCATGCCGCCTAACCGATATTTATATTTATTATATTTTGATATTACGACCATAAAATAAGGATTTGTCAGTCGGACTGTCTCTCCCAGTCTTACCAGATGTAACTGTGATCTACAGTTTAGGCACACACACACACACACACACACACACACACACACACACACACACACACACACACACACAAAACTGTTTTAAAAATGAGACAGCTGTGACATTTGAATTTTTTTTTGTAGATTTCATTTGCCTCTTTTAAAAGCTCTGTAGTTATGCAAAGATAAAGAAACATAAATGTGACTGACAGCTGGATAAAACAAAGCCCCGAAACTACATTCATATTCAGTTTCTGACAATGAAATTTAAAATGACTGTGATTGATGGTTCACAACAGATTTACAGAAGGGCATGTTTTGGTAGAAACATGGTGTAAAAGAGTGCTTCAGTTTAAGTGACATACAGCTGCAGCTGGAGAAGGTCTAAAACAGCTGTTGAAGATGATTAAGGAAAACAAAAATATCTGTTTAATATTGAACTCTGGAGGCAAACCTGAGTATAAGGCTTTAATGTGTAATAATGCATTCTCATTTACTCTCTCATTTTTGATTATTTTTAATCATCAACGAGTATCAGAGAGTGTTTTTTTTTTCAGTTTTGAGCTTCATCTTCCACATCTTCTTCTTCATTGTCTTGGCTTTTTACCCTAACAATCATTTCTGCATCTGCATCCTGTACGTAAATAAAGACAGCACAGACAACCAGATGAGTATTAACAAAAGCAGTGCAGAGTGTACCTGGTAAGAGATGGCGAGAGATGCACTGGAGCTGAACACTGTTTTCTTTGAGTTATGTGATATAAAATTGATTTGACTCTAAGAGGTAGTTAAAGGTATTTTTCCAAAGTCTTAAAAAAAAAAAAAAAATCTGCAGAATAGATTCATTGATACTGATAATAATCATTGGCTGCAGCCCTAGACTGCACTATCTCCAAATCCAAGATCAGAAGATATAACATACAGCTTGTAATTACTAATTCCCACTTGTAACTTTACATATGTTATGCTATATTTAACAGACCAGCAATAAATATTACCTCTAATTTCTCTATCTTCTTCTTCCACTGGCACACGTAACCCTTGGCAGCATCCAGAATGTTTTTATCATTCGTCTTGCAGTAAATCCTGACAAACTTCTCAGAAAAGTTCTTTGGGAGAAGCCTGGACACCTGAAAAGAATAACAGCAGCTTCTTTAAGAGAAATATACTAAAGGAATGAACAGTTCATAAAAAGAGAGCATTTAAAGATAAAACTTTTGCTTTCATTGTTCTGACCTCATCTCCGGAGCGCTTGAATCCTGTGTTAGGTTCATTCTTGCTGTAGAAATACACAAAGCTGATGGGATCCTCATGTTTTTTCCCATAATCAAGAGAAGTGGTCTAAAAGAGAAGAGTGAGAGATAAGCTTTTTTTTAAAAAAAAAATCATACTGTAAATTATGCCACAACAGAGGTTTAGAAACATTTTCCAAATCTATGATAATCAACAAGAAAGTAATTAGACTAAAAACTTACCACAACTTCAAAGTCATCTGCTGTCAGCCCATCAGGGTTATTAGCTAATGTATTTTTCCACTGCTCATCCATCCACTGAGGGTGGGAGGAGAAAGGGGGTGAAGTGAGAGGAATGCGAGATTTATTACCACTTGACAACATATAGCAAGACTATGTCCACATTAAATTGTTAAAATTTTTCCCAGTTTTGGCTCTCTGTTCACGCTAAAACATTTTTTCTCACGCAAAAAAGCAGCTTTATAAGTTATATGTGTATGTGAAAATGGAGCTTTTGCAAAATGATGACGTGGGTCTGCCCAGTTATTGTTTGGGGGCTTTGTGGCAGTGAAGTTAAAAATCAATCAAATCATAAAATAACTATTTAATTGGCACAGCAGCCTGGGAATGACATGTACATTTCATGTTTTCTACCTTAACAGACAAAGTGCTTTACTATTCATCCATTCCCACAGTCACATATCTATGGCAACAGAGCTGCCATGCAAGGCACTGGCCTGGCTGAAAGGAGCTGGGGATCAAACTGCCAACATACAGCCTGGCCACAGCCATTTCATACTCGTTCTACTGACTGTACAGTAACAGAAAAATATGTAAATGAGAAGAACTGTACTATTAAATATTAAAACAGGTCGTTATAGGGCCAACGACAGCTATCATTAATGTGATGCACAGCTAAGAAGAAGAAGAAAAAGAAGAAGAAGAACAACAAAAACAACAACAGTGTTTTAAAAATGAGACAGCTGTGACATTTGACTGGTAGGAATTTGTTATAGTTTATGTGAAATCCAGGTCCAATCACACACAAGCAAAGTAAAATGAGAGAGATAACTGAAGTAATAACATACATGCCATATTTCAACCACAGAATGAGAATAACGTTCAGCTTTGTTATAACAAAATCAACTTTCAAAAAGGTGATTGGAATGTTCAGTGTTGTCGAACACACACCAAAGTCATATGTCACCATGTCAAGCAGAAACATAATGCAGCACAGGCATACAAAGACATTAGTGCACACCTTTGTTTCTTCCGCAGTATGCTTTTCGCCCACACACGTGTAGAGATCACGAGTGATGATCCTGTTGAGAATCTTCCTCGCATCTTCCAGCTCAGGGGAGGAGGAGTGGAGTATGTCTTCAAACACTCGATCTACAACAAAAACAGTGAAACAGAGTGGAGGACAGGTCAGTTGGAACTAACCAAAGACAATTTCATTCAGTGATTCACCAATAAATAATTGACATTGTAATATAACTTTGTGGAAGTTATCTAAAGACATTAGAAGTTGATATTCTTTTTTTTTTCCAAAGCACCTGCATTTGGATGTGCAAGTATGTTCATTGAGAAAATATAACATTGATATAATTATCTATACCATATTTATTCGTAAATATAAAACAATGGTTTTTATGACTGCAACATACATTTTATTTAAACATGCCCAATTAATCACTCATCACAACTTTGTAATGTACAAGATCTTGTGTAATTTATTTATATTATATATTTATATACATTTACTGTATGTGCTAGCAGGGCTGAAAATAATGTGTTTTCTGTTGCAGTACAATGATAGAGGCTGTCTGGCTCTCTTTGTGTGCACATGGTGTGTATCCTGCGCACTCCTCTCTGTGTTCTTCAGTCATGAGCTGACAGCACACTGTGGTATCTGCTGACCTGTCAGCTTGGTGTAGGCCTCCATGTCATCTATGGCTGTGGAGAGAGTGAAGCTCTTCTCCCCTGAGCCTTTAATCTTGATGTGTTCATCTGCTTTAACAAAGGCCTCTGAGATCCTGAGTAAACACACCCAACATATGATCGATTTTGAGAATATTTTGCTGCATATCATTCAAAAGAGTAAACCATGAAGCAAGGAAGAATAGGTACTTACATAGTCTGTATGAGCATGTTCACCTTGTGCTGGTAGGCTTTTCTGTGGAAGCTACACCTTGCATAGAACATGGCGTACAGATTGTGCACCTCCTGTTGAGAGGTTAGCCACAACCAATCAGATAAATGGATTATTGTTTAAGACATTTAAATACAACAACAGCAACAAACAAACAAACAAAAGCAGCAGTAACATTGTCACCACCTTGTCTTGAGAGCAGATGTGCTTCCTCCCCTCCTTCACCACACACACTCTGGCAAACTTGAAGAAGCGGTGATGGTCAAAGTGGTTCTGGATGCCCAGGTGGTGGCAGTCCCTGAGAAGAGACAGAGTGAGGAAATATGTCTAGAAAAAAAACACTTACATTAAGCTACTCAATTCACCCTGAAGCAGCCTTTCTCAAAGTGTGGTCCGCAAGTGACCCCTGGTGGTCTGTGAGTAAATTAATTAAAATATCATGTTTTAAATTTAGTGTTTCTCCAACTGTCTGCTAGCGACCACAAAGCGTACTGGATAGTATTGTATATTTGTTATTTTCAAGAGTAATCAACTCTAACTATCAACTCATATGAAAATTCCAATTCAAACTATTATTAGACCTTTATGAATTGGCTGTTGACAGTGTAGTTGGACTTCACCGTTTTGCGACAGTGCCAACTCATGTAGCTATGCCATTTTCCAGTTTGTTTTACTATTTATGTTAAAAATTATCAGCGTGACATTTGAAAGGAAATGTGGATGAAGCTTACAACTATCCTGCTCTGGGGTTGTACTAAATTTCACCAGTTGTCAGCAGTTTGGTAACTATCAAACACGGAAAGCGGACAAGGTCGTGGAACAGAGGCCTAAGACCGGGTCAGTTAACAGAAAATCAAATGAAACCGCAGACATAGCGATACAACAGGCAAGTGTTTAAATGTTGAGTTTAGTAATTTAGTCACCATGGCTGAGATCAGTGTTAATACTGTATGTGTTTGAAAATGCTGATGTCACATAAATAGCAGCATCTGCTGCTGCTCACCAGTTTGATTCCTGGCAGACCAGACTTCTTGCAGCATTTCATTCCCCTACTCTCTGTCACAAGAATTTCTGTCTCGCCTCACTGTCCTATCCAGTAAAGCCATTAAAATATTGCGAAGTGTCAAAATATATTGTGGTGGTCTGTGAGTTTAATTTTAGTGGTTAAGTGGTCCTTGGTCTGAAAAGGTTTGAGAAACACTGCCCTAAAGAATGCTGCGTAATGTAAAAATCATCAGGTGAGTATTATAATTGTTCATGGGAAATCATACATAGTATTTCATCACTCTACATCAAAAAGTGAATTATGCAGAAGCTGTTCAACAAGTCCCACCTGGCAAAGTAGTCAAACTTGTCCACATCAATGCCATTTGTTTTATTGGCCACGATTTCATAGAGGAAGGACTTGTCCTCGTCTCGACCTTCATATTTCCACTGTAGAGAAGACAACATAATAATGGCATTAAACACTGACTGCTGTAGCAATGATGACACCGACTGATTTCACACAATTCACACATCGGGAGTGACAGGTACCTTCTTTTGTTTATTAGAGTCCAGAGGTCCCCCAATCATCTCCTTGATGAAGAGCATGTCCTGCTCTGGCTCCAGGCCGTACTTCTTCATCACCGGCTTCAGGTCATTTTTATCAACCAGGTGATCAAGCATCTTTAGAGAAATCTCCTCATGCTGCAACATACAAAGACTCATTACATAAATATATTAGTATATTAGTAAGTGAAAATAAAATGGCTCCAGTAGAAAGAGTTTATCTTTTCCAAAACATCACAAGATACACAGAACATGAATTTTTGTCTAATCTCTCATGTTTTCTTCTCTCTGGTCACAAATTACATAATGACCATGTGAGGTAAGTCAGATTTCACAGACAACAGAAATAATTGAACCGTTTCTTACCTCGCACTTTTTACCTGCTTTGGGGAGGAACATTCCATCAAACAGATGGGAAAATGGCCCATGTCCTAAATATGGAGAAATCAGTATAAAATAACCTAATCATGACTGTGTGTGAACTGTAAATGGAGACGTTTGTGATTATATGTTATTGAACAGGCTAGCAGAAGGGACGGGCCTTTACTCCTAACCTCCATTGTTTAATAATTACATTTGATCATATTTCTACAAAATATCTTTTGTAATCTGCTCCCATTTGCTTTTATTATTTTGCTTTCAAAGCAAATTCAACATTTCTTCCATCTGTTGTTTTGATAAATTCAGGATGAGGTGAGTTTTCTGAGAGCAACAGCATAGTGGTTGTCATGTCATTCTCACAGCTCGGCCCTGTGAGTGTTAAGAAAGAAAATAGCCAACTTTCCATCCAAATGTTTCAAATTTCAACCAAATTTCCTGAAAATTTTGACTTTACACCTGTTCGTGATGATTCAAAGTGACTATGATTAATTGTGTTCCAAATCTCAAATTACTCCACACTATAGAATAAACTTAAGGTATGAATGGACAAGGGAGTCAGTTGTTTTTCATGTACAGACGAAGTACAACACTTTAAATGCATTCAGGGAGAAGCTGTCTGAAAATGTATACGTGCCATTATTGTATATTTAAATATTTATTGTGTCTCGATCTTCTCTCTGAAGACTGGCTTTGCACTCTGCCTTCAGGTGTGGCCGTTTGGAGCACGTGTTAGATGAACAACAACAGTCATAGCTAAAAATATTGGCCTTTCAGAAAATACACCACTCACAGAAAATTGTTACAATAACAAATGCTTCTGTATTCACGTTTATTTTTTTGTTTGCATTGGAACAATATAAAAATCTGAATGACACTTTCAACTTAATATTTGGCTGCAGACCCTTTAGAAACAATAACTGAAATCAGTCGCTTCCTGTAACCAAGCATGAGTTTCTTTCACATCTCTCAGATTTGAAGGTGCCTTTTCACAACTGCTGTTTTGAGATCTCTCCTCTGGTGTTCTAAAGAATCAGCCCGGATCTATAGGGTTTAGAACTGGACTCATTCAGATCTCTCCAGCGCTTTGCCTTAAACCATTTCTAGGTGTGTATTGAAGTATGTTTTGGGTCATTGTCCTGCTGGAAGACCCATGACCTCTGATGAAGACCCAGCTTTTTGACACTGGGCCTTACATAGAGCAATTCTTTGGTAGTCTTCAGATTTCATGATGCCATGCACACAGTCAAGGAATCCAGTGCCAGAAGCAGCAAAGCAAACCCCAAAATATATGTGAACCTCTATCATGTTTGACCGGATAAACTGTGTTCTTTTCTTTGGCCTCATTTGTCCACAGGATATTCTCCCAGAAGGATTTTATATTGCAAACAATACATAACAAAATTTAGTTTTTATTGCTCTGCGCCGGCGACAGCGTTAGCCATAGGCATATTGATTTGAAGTAGTCTGAGGTAGACTTTGGTGGTCAGAGGTCAAGGTCCTGGTGACCTCACAAAACAGGCTTTTGGCCTTGTGAATGCAATATCTCTGTAATGCCTTGAGGGACTTCTTCAAATTTGGTACAAATGTTCACTCTGACTTGTGGCTATATTTTGTGCCTATATTTTTTAGCCATGACTGTATTTCATATGGCATGTTGTCTGACCATGTCAAAAGGAAAAACTGTTTAAAGTTGCTCCAAACGGCAACACATGAAAGGTGGGTGTGAGTCCAGTCTTCGGGTAGAAGGGCAAGACACAGTAATTTTACCTTTAAATGTACAGTAATAATTAATGGCAGGTATATATTTTCTAGGTTTTTTTTGTAGTTTCTCCTTGAGTGTGTGGAAAGCTGATTATTTGTTATATTTTCTCTACTGTTTGATGTTTATAAATGCTGTTGCAAATAGTGGATCAGATGTGTGTCACTCACCCAGGTCATGGCAAAGACCTGCAATTTGCACACAAAGGATGTCTCTGTCAGTGATGTTGAGTTTTGGCTGTTTTGTTTTCAGAGCTTGTGCAAGCTCTCCTGCTAAGTACGCCACTCTGTAACACCACGTACAACAAACACACACACACACACACACACAATCAGAACTCAGTCCACAATTACTGCTTGAGTATTCTGCAGCAAAACTTAAAGTATGAAGTGTTATTAGAGAGAGCTGTGTCTATCTAAAAACATGCAGACATACCCAATGGAGTGTTCAAAGCGGTTGTGGGACGCTCCAGGGAAAACAAAGTAGGCCCCTCCAAGCTGCTTAATGTTTCGTAGTCTGTTGAACTGAGGCGTGTTTATAATTTTGACAAGAAGTGGGTGTAACTCCACATGCCCGTGGATGGGATCATTAAACACCTGGCAGAAAACAATAGAACAAAGATTTTCTTTAATATTATCCAAAAGAGTACTGGTAAAACAGCTCAATTTCTCTGGAGAGTTCAGTGAACTAGTCCGTCTTTATATCATACTGCAGTTGTTCTCACTTTCATTTTTTCATGCTTCCCATGTGTGTTTTGCTGTAGACTGACAGTTGACTCAACAATAGAGAGGAAACATGCACCATCTTGATTATGTGGTTGTGAGGGTTCATTCACTGAGCCTACCTAGGGTTGCCACCTTTAATCTGTGAAAAAACGGTATGTGTATGGAATCACCTGATTTTGTTGTGACATTTTCCTCGTCTATCTCTGTCCGCTCTGCCTGAATTCACAGTGGGGTGATGGATGTGAATGCATGTGACAGTTGCAAGGTAGGTCAAATAAAAGTACAGGCATCGTCACTTTTTATACGTTTACGGACACAGGATTGGACATAACCAGGAAGAAAACAGAATAGCAGTAGGAGGAAATAAATGAGGTTTTATATTTGAAACTATGAAATTCTAAATTAGAAATGCATTTTCACAAAAAACCGGGACAGTTCGTGTTGTGGGGAAGAACATTAATTTTCCACGACAGTTGCTAAAAAAAGAGAACAATCCTGTGAAAACCAGGTGGCAACCCTAACCCTACCACCTTACACACACTGTTGTTGATTCTACAATTGTTGTTTGTTCATCTCTCTAGTACGGTGGCTGAGAGAGCTCAATGCACTGCAGATTAAGAAATTTGTGGCAAGCATATGTTCACCCACCTGTCACTCAAAGCGGTATGCCTGCAATTATGTTGAACTTTAAGCCGTAATAAAATTTAAATGGGTGAGATGTATAAAAATTCACCCCCTGTACAGTTGTCATGAAGGAGGAAATTAGCTAAACCATTTTTTGTACCAGGTTGTAATTATTTGTGCTGTAAAGTTTGGCCTTTTAACATGGGTGTCTATGGGGATTGATTCACTTTTAGAGCCAGCATGAAGTGATCATTTGAAGAACTGCAGTGTGTGGTACTTCCGCGTCAGTTTCATTTTTCAGTCTTGGAGGTTGCGACTTGAGACAAATGTGGAAGTGTTTCCAGGGTGAACGAAAAAGTGATGAATGTGGCTTGGGCACACTTTCTTCAACCTTTTGTGATTTTTTAAGTTACTGAATTCAGTTGATTTGATTGTGTTGGGTGTACTTGCAGCGCAGTTTTCTTAATCTGCCTGTGCTTTGTTTCCCTAAGTTGCAGTGTGTTCAGCTCTCTTAGCCACTGTACTGAATATGTCATGTAATGTATGATCAGGTACATTTCTTACCTTGGGTTCATCTGTGTTCTTTGTCTCTGTGGTACTGCACAGGATTTTCCAATGGTCACCAAGTTACAAAATGACAAAAAAAAAAGAAAAAAAAAGATGAACATAGTAGGGAGTGAGTTAAAGAGAGAAAAGTGAGCTTAGTGAAACTCAGAAAGAAATACAGTTAGGTGCTGGGTGTTATATTATTATTATTATTATTATTATTATTATTATTATTAGAGCNAAACCATTTTTTGTACCAGGTTGTAATTATTTGTGCTGTAAAGTTTGGCCTTTTAACATGGGTGTCTATGGGGATTGATTCACTTTTAGAGCCAGCATGAAGTGATCATTTGAAGAACTGCAGTGTGTGGTACTTCCGCGTCAGTTTCATTTTTCAGTCTTGGAGGTTGCGACTTGAGACAAATGTGGAAGTGTTTCCAGGGTGAACGAAAAAGTGATGAATGTGGCTTGGGCACACTTTCTTCAACCTTTTGTGATTTTTTAAGTTACTGAATTCAGTTGATTTGATTGTGTTGGGTGTACTTGCAGCGCAGTTTTCTTAATCTGCCTGTGCTTTGTTTCCCTAAGTTGCAGTGTGTTCAGCTCTCTTAGCCACTGTACTGAATATGTCATGTAATGTATGATCAGGTACATTTCTTACCTTGGGTTCATCTGTGTTCTTTGTCTCTGTGGTACTGCACAGGATTTTCCAATGGTCACCAAGTTACAAAATGACAAAAAAAAAAGAAAAAAAAAGATGAACATAGTAGGGAGTGAGTTAAAGAGAGAAAAGTGAGCTTAGTGAAACTCAGAAAGAAATACAGTTAGGTGCTGGGTGTTATATTATTATTATTATTATTATTATTATTATTATTATTAGAGCTCCCACTTCAGAAGAATTTGTTTTGTACATACTTCATTATATCCATAATTGTTAGACTTTTGTAGACATTGCAACCTAGTTTAATAATTATGGGGAGCCACTCACCTCATGCTTATTAGATTTTGCAGCCTGAAACCAGTGATCTTTTTGTCTGTGTAAAAGAGGAAACATTTAATAACAGTCCTGTTATACATGGTATTTATTATGACAAGTAGTCTTGATATAGCTTTCGTGCTTCTTAACACATATGGAGCATATGGAAATTCCTGACTAGCTGGCTTACTAATATTGGCCAGCCAGGAGGAACACTAACACAAGCCATCTATTTAATTGACCAAACTTGAAAACCAACCGCTAAATGCATCTTGCCATTTTTGCAGGTACTGATATGCTTCGTTCACTTCCCATCCCCCATAACCTGACATGCCAGATTATTTGTTACACAGAACAATTTGGGCAGGCTTTGTTGGAAAGTGTTTGGACAAGGGCAGGGGCTCTCAAAAAATACTTTGCAGGTGATTGGATGAACGATCTGTCTATCAAATGATGTATTAGGAGAGCACGGAAGAAGAAACACAACACAACAGCAAACTGCAGTTTGAGCAGATTTGGAAGCTATTTATCATTCCAGTAGACGATTCTTGTCGTCTTTTTAAGGAACTTTTGCACTTTGCACTCTTACGAATACTAAAACAGCTGCTTCCCTGGGGTAGTCCCTCCCTCATAGGACGGTGACTGGTCTGAGCCACTATGATTCAGTCATAAACAAATAATTTGGAGCCTGGTAAGATAGATTCTCACTTGCGAGAAATGCAGTTGCCTCACAAGGTTAATTCCTCGTAGTGTGACGGCAACACCAATGACAGTGTTGTCTTTGACATTTTGAAGCTGTTTGAGGTCATACTGATGTTTCTGATGTTGCTCTGACATGGTTGAAGAAGCAGGATAGTCACACCAATAATGTTATATGATGTTGTTTAATTCATCTGATCAAGGCACAAAAGACAACAGGGGTTTGAACAGCACTCAGCTTTTGTGTCTCCACCACTCGTATCACTACACTCATAGTGAAGGTCTATTGTGATTGATTGAACAGCAAAAACATTTCAGAAAATCAACCTACAGAACCGGAAACACATTAGAATTTCAATAGACAAATCAACAAAACATTATTTGAAGGCATGGAATTTCAGGAAACACACCATCAATTAAAATGCATTGTTGAAAACACAAGCACAAACAAATTTAACAATCAAGATAGAATGCAAATATCTAATAAACTTGTCTCCCATAAAGTACCATTATATACTGTAAATTTGCATTGCCTTATTAGTTCAGGGGGAATGTAATTAATGCCTGATCTAAATTCAGTGGTAATGTTTTGCTCCCATACAGAAAGTGTAACAGTCTACTTGGGGTAGAAAAAGGTTTGGGTAGATGTTTGAGCGTACAAACAAAACTCTTTCCATAACTTTTTGCTTTGTCACTGCTTGGTTAGTGCCTCTAAAATTTTATTTCATGTTGAAATGTCAGGTGTTATTGGACCAACTAACTGTCTTTGAATGGTTGACCTAAGTTTATATGCCTCTGCCCTGGGAACAGCCAGAGATGCAGCATATTGTTTTCAGGTTGTCCCTAAGTACTTCTCTATGCATCAGGGATCAATAAGATTCTGGGTAGTTTAGTTTTTTCCCCCTTGGTTGTACAGATTATAATCCTATGTTTGTTTGTTTTAGTGGTGTGCTGTTTTGAAACTGTTGTTTTGGTAATTAGGCTCTGCTGGTAATTAGGCTTTGATAAAAGTTGGTCTTAAATAAAAGGCTCCATTTGAGCCTGTTGTATTCTGTGCTACATGATGGTAGCCCTACATTTGCGATTACTGTGAGTATTGTACATATGTTATTATTGTTGTGGTGCCATGTCAGAAAAGTATTCAGAGATTGCAATTAACACTATGACCGCCAGCATTAGTAGCACTCCCTAAAGCCGCCACAACGGTCTCCCAGACCGTCACGTGTATTTACATTTAGGTTTACAAGCTCTTGAAGTGGAAAAAAAAGTGTAAGTACTTCTCCTTCTTCATATAATGTAGTGTTGGGGGTCGGGGGATGAGTGTGTGTGGTGTGTGTGTGTTGTGTGTGTGGGGGGGGGGGGGGGGGGGGGTAGATTACGTGAGAGAATGATAGACTAATAGTGACTGCGCAGCACCGCCTGACGCACCTATGGCACACACCTGGATCTGGAGACGGTGTTTCGCTCTCATGTCAAGAGCCGTTGTCGCTTTTCGCTCTGAGGTTTATTTGATTGTAATTTTTTTGTTATTGTTTATTATCAACAGCCAGAGGTTTTTCTTTACAATCGTTCCACCTGGATCTGACCTAGCATACGAGCTCTCACAGAGACCGGTGTGCCGTTTGTACTGGACTTGACAGCCGCCGGCAGCACAGTTGAGATTTATTAGGCTGTATTATAATTCTTTATTCACTATCAATGAGGGTGAATTTAGATGTTGCTTACTGTTTATAGCCTACAAGCCGGCTATTTACAAAAGTTTGCGAAGTGGCTGCGTCATGAGTGGACATGCTGACAGATGTGCCAGCCGACAGTGACTTTCCTCATCACTAAACCATCAGCTTCTATGTAACATAAGATATAAGATCAGCGGTCTATATGACCGCTGTGGCAGTCCGAGGAATAAATGCTCAGAAATCGTTTGTTTTTTATTTTAATACCTTCTAGGCTTCAGAAAACATCAAAAACATATATTTAGAAAAAGTCATGGAGTGAGAGACCTGTAGTTTTTATTTAAACAAAGTTATTAACGTAATAAAAACTCAAACGGTCAGTCAGACCGTCTTGGCGGTTCTAGTGTTTTAAAGAAACCTTCAGAGCAAATTATTACTTGTTGGGATTTGGTAAGGTGTTCCCCACTCATGGAGAGCTCAGACTTGAACAGATGGAAAATACAACAAAATACAACAAAGACGGCCATGAAATCTACTCCAATTTTGCAATAATGACACACAGCCGTACATGACCTGCTGAAAGTCTTCAACAAGAAGATGAATTCACAGGCTAACACCACTTCAACTGGTTGCATCAAGCCAAAGACTTCAGCATCCTTAAGGAGACTGACAGAGGATAATATGTGCATATGTGGCACATAGGATAATTAGTGCCACGGGGGCTCAGCTCCGAGGCATCTATTAATATTCTCCTTCTGGTTTTTTATTCTTCCGCCAAATTTTGGCGCGTAACTCGTCCCGCAGCTTTGAGAAAACCCCGGTAATATATACATCAAAACATGCGTCTTGATCCCAAAAGAGTTGCTATGACTTTTGGTGTTAAAATTCCAATTTTTCCCAAAGTTATTCCCAAAAAACTGGGAGTAAATAATGCATTAGGAATGCATTGGAATTTTCTTTAGAAACCCACAAAATTTCACTTTTTCTACAAAATTTCACCTTTTTTCTGAGTCACCCAGCTCCCTCATACCTGCACGTAGAAATGTGATTCAAACTATAAAACGGAGGAAAACTTCTGCTCTCTCAAAAAGACAGGAACTGTTTTTACATAACATGTAAACTTTTCAAACTATGAGCACTCAAAGGAGGAGTGCAAATCACTTTTTCATCAAAGTTAGAGTGAAAGCGTCAGTTGGCTAGAGTGCGTGAAGCAGTAAAAAATAACCTTTATTTTTATTTTTAACTCGAGCTCACGGCCAAACCGTAAAAAGGAGACAAATAATTCTTACTGAAAATGTAGACATAGTTGTTGGGATTCATAAAATGTAACTTTGACAGGCAAGGTCTGCACAAAATTTAAACGGGGGTGCCGAGTCCGGCAGCAATACCTGTCTCACTCTCATTGACACCTAATGTAATCGTCTTTTTTTTTCAAAAGAATCTCACTTTGTCTTCGCATTGAGCTTACTCACTCATTTTAAGGAATATCTGAATAAAATAGAGACTGTAAGAAACTTCTGGCTTCAGTGTCTGTCACGGTCTTTTCGGTTTTTGAAAAGAAGTAACGGTTTTCTCATAATTTGCAATTGTTTTAAGCCATGTAGAAGCCAAATTCTGGGCAGATTTTCACATTGCCATGGCAACGGCAGCTCCTGACCTGTGTGCGAGTGTGCGTGCCTAGCAACCAGATAACCAACTCTCCAAGCTCCGCTAGCTTTACATTAGCCGCATGTATGTTTTGTGGTTTATATTTTGTATATTTTGTCATAAGGTCCCAATGGTTTTGTTAATTTGTTATTTTGCAATTAGGCAGTTAGTAAACGTTATATAACGGTATATAACGGTATATAACAGCTACAGCGAGACGCAGCTGATTCACAGCACAGCGCAGTGTACCGTTGCTAGGTACCTAGAAAGCGCTCAGGCTGCGGTGCTGCAGGAACAGGAAGAGGGAGATGTTCTTATAGATACATTGTAAATATGATTGTTTTGTGATTTAATATACAAAGGGGAATAAGATAATTGTTTATATAGGGAAGATTATAAGTAAAATGATATAGAATTAACATTGTAAATATTTGGTGAATAGTTTCATTGTATTTTGAAATAGAGTAATTTTGATATCGTGATTATAGTGATTATTGTGATGATTGTATTGATTTAGTTGGCAGTTAACGTTTAAGTAAAGCAACTGAAGACCAGCTCACCCACAGTGCCTTTATTGTTTGTGCTCACAGGCACTCATTTCTTTAAAGTGTGTCATCCCTGGAGTACAGAACTTCATGGGCGTAGAACACATACATGCGGACTTCTCTGGGAACAAACACAGGAATGAAACAAGCTTTCCATTTTGGTGGCAGCCACCAGCAACTACCATAAATGTTCTACTTTCATTTTTGGTACTTGCTATGGGCCCATAGCAAACATTTTTGCCAATAGCAACTGTGATTTAACATAGCATTTGTCTTGTGAGATATCTGGGAATAATAAACTTACAATCGAATGCTGAGTCATATGTTCAGTCATATGTTCAACTTATGTTGGAGTTATTTTTCTGTATAGTTAATTTAGCACTCCCTTTGTTAGTCTAGTAATAGCTTCATCTGCGTGTGTGTTTCCCTTATTTGTTATGGCCTTGGAGCTGGGCAATAACAATACAGACTTCTCTGAAAATTTTGCAAGTAAGCTCAGCAATGAAATTCAAGCCGTCCCTTTTGTCGGCAGCCACAGGGAAGCTACCATACCAAGAAAGGAGAGGTAGTTTTCTATTGCATTTTACACACACACGCACACACACGCACACACACGCACACACACACACATACACACACACACACACACACATATATGTATATATATATATATATATATATACTTTTCCTTAATAGTTAGCTTACTTAACAAAGATGGCGAGGAAATCTGTTCAAATTTTGCAACAATGACACACAAGCCTTCAATTTTGGTGGCAGCCACAAGCAAGCTGTGATATATACAGCAGTGCATGCATCCATTTCATCAATGATCATCTTTGACAAAAATGAAATAACAAGCAACCTTTGAAAACGAGAACTATGATGAAATGGATTACATTTTTCATCAATGAATAACAAAAACAAGAAACAATGTGAAAGACAGCCAAGTGGACATGTTTCAATGCAAAATCTTACTCAACAACCTGCATGTATCTGTGGAATCACACACTGAAGCTCCTGATTATTAACAGTTTCTTCCACCATCCAAAATATTTCTTGTTCAGATGATGATTTAGTGACTTTACCTGTTGCACTGTGTTAATAAGAAACACTTTGCGAAGTTATGTCTTAAAGTAAAGTTATGTCAGTAATGTTATCTGATGTTGTAATTTCAGTGTTGGTACTTACTGTTTACTGCGCTGCTCTCATCCCCTGATCCCTGGCACCTGTATGTTGGCTCTTTAAAACCCTCTTAAGCCCCACCCACTTTCAC